CTCTCTCTCTCTCTCTCTTTCGAGAGATCAGAATGGAGAAACGGAACGGTATTATTCGTTGGACAACGACGGAGGGAAGGAAGAAAAGAAGAAGAGGCAAGGCCTTCCTCTCCCGTATACCTATAGCGATTGTCGATTTAAATGTTTACTAATAACCAAGCTTGTCCCGCAACCACCCAGAAGTCGGTCGCTTTGCATTTTTATAAGTACATCTTACGGCCGGTTCCAAGAAGAAGAGAGGAGAAGACGTTTCATATTCATCCCGGCCAGGGATGCCGCCGACCGACTGTCTCCTCCCCTCCTCGAGATAGCCTCCTACTTCTGGCGTGTATTGTTTCTCAAGCGACGCATGCGCCCCAGATTAGCCGGCCAACCGGCATAATCGTTCTCTCGGTGCTTGTCCGTTGGGAAGGATCGTTAGGAAGAATGATACGTTCTCGATGGATTCTGCGGTATATACGTGGGAACGTGGTGAATTAATACTCGGTTTCCTGAGTTTTACTTTGGATGGTTTGGATAGGTTGTTGCGTGGAGAAAGTGTGCATACATGGGTAATAAACAGGTACGTTAAATATACCGCACTTGTGGTGCAGTAATATTTAATCTTGAATTTTTATTTTGTTCGAACATGGAATCATTTATTACGATTGAACGAACGAATAATAAATTGATCATTTGGAAAATTTTTGCGAAATTTGAAATTTAATTCTGATCAAAATTCCTTTCAGTTTCGTTGGATAGGAAAGAGAGTTATGTAATAAATGTTGAGGAAGAGGAGAAAAAAATCTTGCGCTTCTCTATTCCATGGAAAAGAGGCAATGATCGAGAAAGAATGGAATAAAAATAATTTCAATATATAATTTCTTCTCTCTACACGAGTGAACGTCTAATTTTAGAATTAAGAAAAAAAGTAAAAGGAAAAAAGAAAAATGTATCAAGACACGCGGTTAATGCCGTGAACGGTATTTAAATTGCTGGGTAAACTCGTTTTATGCCTTCCATAAAGATACCAATGCGCAAAAATGCCAGGTGCAGGGGAGACCTAAGGCCGCGTTTCCACCAGCCGACTCTTGGGGCCCTGGACGAGATAAAACCGACCCATTACCAATATATAGTAGCTCAGTTGTAAAATGATCGTGTCGTCGAGTACTAAACCGAGACAACACTATCTGCCGCCCAACGGGGTGTTCGTTTTTAGTGGCATTACCCGACCAACATACGATAATCGACCACTTCTCCTGCATGTATATGCCTCGGGATGGGTGGTACGAGGAGACAGAGGGTAATTTTGAGGTGCAAAAATGAGGATAGAAGAAAGGGTGACCCCTTTTCTCCTCGTTTTTTGAAAAAATCAAGTTTAGATATTCTGGAATTTTAATACATTTTTTTCTAGAATAATTTCTTGGCAACTCGTTGAAGTAAATGTTAGAAAAATTAATACTTTTGTTTGGTAATTTTTGGTATTATAAAACTGCACTTTACTAAGAATTATAAGATAGACTATTTAAAATCATATTGCATAATTGTTTATGCATATATTACATACATAACATATACATTATGTTAAATAATAATAATTCCATTCTGGAATCTTTTGAGTATACTTTTACAAGCTGTATCTGTATGATATTCAAAGAATTAATCCAACAGGGATGAAATAGCTTACTGAAACATGTTTTTTTCAATTGTAGAATACTTGCTCTTGCTCCTTGCTGGCCCAAAGTGAAAGGAATCCTATCGAAACCACCACCACCACCATCACCACAGACAAACCACTAAACTTTTATATACACCCCTCGTTCCCAAGATAAAATCATTGAACACGAAGGAAACAAAAGGAAAGAGGGACTTGCAGCGACTTCCAATAAAAATTAACAGCTCCAGCTTCGGATCCTCGGGTCGCCAGGTCCTCGAACTCTCTTCTCCTTCTCCCTCCCTCTCTCGTTTCCTTAGAACCCTCGTAAGTCTTATCCTGGAACGCTGCAAATGGTCGCAGGTTGGCACCGGTTAACTCTGGACACCTCTGGAGTTCGTAGGGCGATAAACTATACTAAACTGCCGCGCTCTCTCGATGCTTTATTGGCTTTTATCGAGTTTTAACGCAAGCACACCACGGATTCCTTTATGGAAACGCCGTTAATTTTACGACGCGGGCATATTTAGCCCGGCGGGCTTCTCGTAAAATCATACTTCAGCCCGCGATAAAGTTAAAACATCGGCAGGCTTAAAGCAAAGTTCGCCTCGTAAATATGACGAGGGTGGACCGTGGGGGAGGGAGGGGGTGGAAATAGCCGTGAGACAGTGTCTGTACGTGTGCGTTTGGAGGGGGTGAGAGAGGGGGTGGCTTTCACGTTCGTTGTAATTAACTTATGGTAATTAACGGAGTCGTGGGGGAAAAGATTTTTATTAGGCTTCAGCTTTCTTTCCAACTTTCTCCCGTCTCTTTTTTTTGTTTTATTACGTAGCTTCAATATAGGTTTTTAATTTTCGTGTCTCCGTTTCGGTGGAGGATTCGCCGCTTTGACCTTTTTCAGAATATTAAGATGATACATGTAAAAGTAGTTTTTGTAAGGTGAACGTTTAGAATGAAAAATTAATGACGACAATGTGCATGAAGCACGCTGTATGGAAAATATATTTGTTGTTCTTTTAGAAATCAGATTTTACTTTGAAAATTTTAGGATTTACAGTCAAAGTGTTTAATGCAATATCATATTGATTCATTGAGGTTTATTTATTAGGTTATATGAAATTTATATTTTAATTGAGATAAGATGAAGATGGAGAATAAAATTAGAAAACA